CACATATAAACAATGTCTCGTTATATCAAACCGGAGAATAGTCGCTTTGAAACCCGACGTTAACTCGTCGTTGTTATCTTCAATTTCTGACACATAGACGTCATCGGCTAATTTTTTTTATCTAAAGTCGTATAAAAAATGCAAACTATGTCATGATAACGTAAAAGATATCTCTCACAAAGAACGCGATTTTTTTGCAAAACAACATACTAAAGTACGACAAGGAGTTAAACAAGATTTGTGTTTGGTTCATCCTTTTTTCTCTTCGAATTCTTTAATCGACTTTTGTGTTATTTGTGTGATGAATACGTCGTCCATATTGACTGAGACCCCAGAAATATATCGCAACACCGCGTTTTTTACATTCTCGTTCTGCGAGTCCACTAAAAACGAAAAAACTTCCGAACAAAACTATAACGCTTTTTTATTGACCACAAATTTTTTAATCAGTTTCTTAAAATTAGTTTGATTTTTAGTTTGAAAACTAATAGATACCATTCTGATTATTTAACAAATGAAAAATTTCAACAAAGCACGTGTTTCAAATACTCAAAAGCACTTTTACATGCAATCCACATATGAGAATTGCATGTAAAAGTGGAAAACTGATTTGTAACTCAAGTTTACATTTTCTAAAATTTGGTATTTTTCATTGACTGTTCTTACTACAAATTGCAATGTAATTGACTGATTTTGGTGAAACACGTTGAGTTAAATAAGTGGTGTTAAAAAGTCTGTTTAATGATTTTGGAAAATAGAACAAAACAACAACGGTTTAATAAGACATTGTGAATTGACGACAAATCATTTTAATATGTAAAAGCTATGTTTATTTCGTTTTATTTTTTTTGCACTTGGTAAATAATTGATTATTTTGATAATTTATTAATATGGTTCATTTTACTATATATAAATTATAAAAATAATAAGTGGTCAATTCCCGAAATATTAAATGAGTATTTGAATACACTTTTAACAGGAAGTGTTTTCAAGTGTTAAAATTGTTTGCAAAGAAAAATTTAAATATATTTGAACAACGAAAAACTGTGAATATCAAAATGCGTGGACTTTCTGGTTATCATATTATGATAGTCTCGAAGTACTTCGACAACATTAAAGACTTTGTTAACTTGAAGTTGGTATGTAAGAAGTTTGGTGGCAATATGGAAAAGTTTCACTTCAACCCAACATCATTGAATTCCAAAACACTTGGATACTTCCCAAACATCGAGACACTTCACTTGTGGGATGAAGAAGATGAGAACTTTGGCAATGGATTTATGATCAAAAGAAGAGAAAATGAAGATAGTGAAAATGAAGTTGTTTTAAAGAAAGAATTCTTTCGAATCATTGTGTGGTTCAATGTTGACTTTGAAACTGTTGACAGAAACAATAGTCGAAACATCGAGTTTAAAAATGTCACTTACACTCAAAATGATAGAAAAAAATTTGGTAATAATATTCCACCAATTGTAAGATCTATTGGTGAAAAATGTTTCCGTTGGTGCGGTAGTTTGAGCAGTGTCAACATACCATCGAGTGTAAGATCAATTGGTGATTGGTGTTTCAATGAATGCATTAGTCTAACCAGTGTTACAATATCATCAAGTGTAACATTAATTAGTGAAAAATGTTTCAGTGAATGCATTAGTCTTATAAGCATT